TCAGATGTTGTGTCTCTGTTTGTCTCCAGTGCGCTGAGAGCAGAGAAATCATTTCCATAGAGAGGAGGCTTTGCATGGTCAGCTGATCCTCCAGGGAACTGAGAAGGTTTATAGTCCTGAGAGTTCAACACTGCAGGACTCTGATCTGTCGGTCAAGCCAGCAGAAACAACAAGAACTACGACTCTCATCTCCATCATCATTTATATATAGTTAGGAAAATGAATATATGAACAACCTGTTTTTTTGAAAGTTCACCCACTTAGAAATCATGGAGGGTCTGAAATTGCCACTATAGGTGCATTTCCATTGTGAGTGACATAATCTAAAAAAATCCAGAAAGCACAATGTATGATTTTTTTTTTTTACTATTTATTCATATGATACAGCTTGAAATAAGTATTTGAACACCTGAGAAAATCAATGTTATTATTCGGTACAGTAGCCCTTGTTTGCTGTTACAGAGGTCAAATGAATCCTGTAGATTTCCAACAGGTTTTCACACACTGCAGGAGGGATTTTGGCCGCTTCTCCACACAGATCTCTAAATCATTCAGGTTTCTGGGCTTTCACTCAGAAACACAGAGTTTGAGCTCCCTCCGCAGATTCTCTAATAGGTTTAGTCCTGGAGACTTGCTAGGCCATACTAGAAACTAGATATCCTTCTTTCACAGCCACTCCTTGGTTATCCTGTCTGTGTGCTTCAGGTCATTGTGATGTTGGAAGACCCAGCCTCCACCCATCTTCAATACTCTAATTGGGAGAGGAAACTTATTCCCCCAAATCTCGCAAGACATGGCCCTGATCACCCTCTCTTTAATACAGTGCAGTCACCCTGTCCCATGTGCAGAAAAACACCCCCAAAGCATGATGCTACCTAACCTGACAACAGCCAGATGCATGCATCTGGCTGTTGTCAGGTTAGATGCTACCACCCCCATGTATTTATAATTGTTTTTCCTCCAAACATGGTTAGTGGAATTATGACCAAAAAGTTCTATTTTGGTCTCATCTCACTACATGACTTTCTGCCGTGAATCCTCTGGATGATCCAAATAGTCTTTGGCAAACCTAAGAAGGGCCTTGACATGCGCTGGTTTAAGCAGGGGACCCTTCCATGTCCTGCATGTTTCAAACCATGACGTCTTATTTACCAACAGTAACCTTGGAAACGATAGTCCCAGCTCTTTTCTGGTCATTGACCAGCACCTCCCGCGTAGTTTTGGGCTGATTTCTTACCTTTCTAAGGATCATTGAGACCCCATGAGGTCAGATCTTGCATGGAGCCCCAGTCCGAGGGAGACTGACAGTCATGTTTAGCTTTTTCCATTTTCTAATGATTGCTCAAACTGTGGACCTTTTTCACCAATCTGCTTGACCTTTTCAGACTTGTGGAGATGTAAAACTTAGTCTCTAGTGTCTTTGGACAGCTCCTAGGTCTTGGCCATGCTAGTAGTTGTGTTCTTACTTATTGTTTGGGGTGGACAGGTGTCTTTATGCAGCTAAAGACCTTAAACAGGTGCATCTAATTCAGGATAATAAATGGAGTGGAGGTGGAAATTTTGTAGGCAGGTCTTTAAGGGTCAGAGTTCTAGCTGATAGACAGGTGTTCAAATACTTATTTGCAGATGTATCATACAAATAAATAAATAGTTACAAAAGTCATACATTATGATTTCTGGATTATTATTTTTTAGATTATGTCTCACAGTGGACATGCACCTATAATGACAATTTCAGACCCCTTCATGATTTCTTAAGTGGGAGAACTTGCAAAATAGCAGGGTGTTCAAATACCTCACTGTAAATATGTTCAACTCCTGTCTCTTTAATGCAGCAATATTGATTCCTTCACCTTTAGGCAAGGATGTCCAAAATGTGGCAGTTTGCAGCAGCAAATAATGAATGATAAATATGTAGACCATCAGCACAGGTTCTTTAAACAGAATGAGACTTTTCTAATATTGAATTAATTGAATATAAAATTGACATAAATTTTAGTCAATATAATAAAATAGGTGCAACATAAAAC